TGCCATTATGTTCCCTAATTTACAATGAGGAAACATACCTATGAAAAGTTAATGAATTGAGCAAAAGTTAGATCTAGCAGGTGGTAAAAATCAGAGGGTAAACCCAGACAGACTGGCTCCTGAGCTTATTTTTTGAAGATTACAAGGATCTTTAGGCCAGTATAGGCAAAACTTTGGGTGATGTTGAGCAACATTTCCTCAAAGTTGAGATTTTTTCTGTAGTCCTGGTAGATCACCACTGCAAAGTGAGTCAATTATGACTCATAGTGACCCTAGATGATAGAGAAGAGTCACTGTCTTAGGTATCTGAAGTTATATGACTTTAGGGAAGGGCACAGTCTCATCTTGCTCCCACAGGACAACTGGTGGGCTCCCACTGCTGACCTGGTCTTTAGCAGCCGAGCACACCACCACAGCACCTGGATGCCTGATAGGGCGCTGCTTCATTCTTACAGAGATCTGTCAAAATCCTCACAAAAGTTTGCAGTGACTTTTGTATTTAAGCACAGGGTCTGGCACCTCTTTTCCCTACCAAGGAGGCATTTAGTTTTTGGTCAGCCAGGATGGAAGTCCCAATTGCAGCTGATGTGGAATGTAGTCTAGGCTACATTCTATCCAGTCTATCCACCAAGCCTATTTATTGAGACATACAAGCAGTGGAGGGGAGGAAGTGTTAACAGCAAAGTGTTAGATTCTGCCAACCATGCTGTTGTTGTTATCCCTCTATTTATTAGAAATTAAAATATTTTTAATTTTTATTGTGGAGCACATGCATAGTAGAACACAAGGCAATTCAATAATTTCTACGTGCGCGATTCCGTGGCCCTGCTTACATGCTCCAAGTTGTGCTACCACCCTTACCCTCTTCATGTTGCTCCTCTAGGAAGAGAAACTCTCTGCCCAAGTTTCCTGTCTCATCTTTTGAGTTGCTGTTGTTAATTTGATTCCATCTAGAACGTTCTTAAAAGAGCACAGTGCTCCAGGCAGACTTTCTTTCCTAATTAAGTAAATTATTGTTTGGCTTAAAGAAGACTTCAGGGGATACTTTTAGTTTCAGGTTTAAAGATTATTCCCCTGGAACCCAGCTG